AACATCAGCTGTTAGGGCTATGGGCTCTTTACGAAAGCGTAGCAGAACTCCTAACAGAGAGTTGTTCAAATCTGGTCCAGTAAGAAGCACTTGGTTGAGAGAAACTCCATCACACTCGGCACTAGAGTCAAACATGACCCGTATTTGTTCTGGCTTCTGTGGGTGGTATACGCCGAATGTGGGTAGATACCAATGTTCTTTATCGGCTGGCAGAGGTGGAGCGTGTTCTGCTTGATCGTTGTCCAACATTTTTTGCATGAATTGGATGTAATGAGCTTTCATTTCCGGTTTCTTTGTTAGAGCCTTTCTCAGTGAGGAAAGGCGTTTGAGGGCTTGTTCTCTATTATTAGGCAGCTTTCTTCTCTGAGAGCAAAAAGGTAAGGGTGCCACCCAGCAGTTCTCTTCGTTTTGATAGACTTCGTTGTCCATTATTGTTAGAAATGTTTTGTCATCAATTGACATAGCTTGTTTGTCATCATACTCAGACCTAACAAACACAGCGTTTCCCAAACTGTCCATGTCGCATGCAGGGTTTAAAGTGACTCCATAATTCTCTTTAACATGAATTGTGTTTGGGCAGGGCTCAAAGTAGGAAGCACGACCGTTATCTAAGGTGTGTGTCTTGTAAACGTTGACCTCTGACTGACCATGAGCGTTTCCTAAACACACCTCCCCTACAATAACCCAGCCTAAGTCTAGCCTTTGTGCATAAGGTGCATTATTGGGCCCGTTGATTTGCTCACGTACCTTATGAACCCTGAGGATGTCCCTTCCTAAGAGTAAAAGAATAGGAGCGTGGTGGTCGACAGGTTGGATTTTGTCTGCTACTTTGAGTAGATGTGGGTGATGCTGTGCCATCTCAGGAGAAGGTATTTCAGTTCTGTCATCTGGAACAGAGTCACATTCTATCAAAGGGGGTAGCTGGAGATTGACCTTTCCATCCATGGACTCGATGAAGAAGTTTACAGCTCTCCTTCCTGATGCCTGTGCTTTTCCAGAGCAAGTCTTTAATGTGTAAGGAATGGGACTGGAATCGATATCAAAAAGGTTGAAGAACTCTGACTTTGCCAGTGACCTATTGGACTGTTCATCTATTACAGCGTACATTTTAATAGCTTTTTGTATTTGTCCGGCAGGATATGCTTTGACTAGACTGATCTTAGAACATGAGCGTGGAC